ATATATTAGAAAGCATCAGAATACAGAGGCCCAGTAAACTTTTTTGAAAATCAGTAACTCAGCCCATATTTAACATTCTGTGGTAATCGACAATATAAAACAAAATTTTCTTAAGAATTATTTAGAAATTATATATTGTTTATTATTAGACCACTTTTGCTTGATGTATTTGTATCTGAAATATGTCTTTTGAAATCACTCCATGAATTTATGATTTTGTATTAATTAAGATTGTTAGATTTTATTGCAATAAATTTGATACTCTTTTATGTAAAAAGCACTGTTTTTTTCTGAAATATATATTTATTTCTTCTATTGTAATTTAGAAATAAAAATTGAAATATTTCTTCTTTAAATTATTATAGAAAATTTACTGAAATCGTATTACTAACATAATCTAATTTAATAATAATCATTACATATATCAAAATCAAAATAATTGAAAGAATATATTTTTCTGCATAGATGATAATTTTGATACAAACAAACTTGTCATTGCTGAAGATATGGGTAGAGGTGCTGTTTCTTGGAAATCCTATCGTCATTATATAAGCTCTTCAGGAGGTCCCTTTGTTATTGGATTATTATTATTTCTTTTTCTAGCTTTTGTTTCTTCTCTGTTATTTAGTTTTGTTTGGTTGAGATATTGGATGGATACAGTAAGTAATAGTTTCTTCATAGTAACTCAAATTATAGACGATAACTTTTTATTCTAAAATAAAATCTTTTAATTTCAGTTTCGGAGCTCTTCTAAAAATTGGAAACAAAATTTTACATTTAATGAATCTCTGCCTTCATTACTGTCCAACAGTTCTGAATTTAAAGATGATAATACAAAACATTTAGAAGAATATCATTATCAGTTAATCTATGCTTTATCTGTTGTTGTTGTATTAATTCTTGGAATAATAAAAGGAATCTTTTGTGCAAAGGTAAGTTTTTATGTAAATATTTAATTTATTCTATTGCTATAGAACACTATTACATTTTTATAAAAATATGAATAGTAATATACAAATAGATTTAACATCAGTCAAACAATAAATATTAGCTGCTCTAAGCTTATATATTGGGTTGTTCGAAAAGTAATTTCGTTTTTTTTTCGTGGAAGAAAACACAATATTTTTATAATAAATAAATATTTTATTGAATTATATGTTGACCATTTTGGTCAAATACCTATTGTCATCGTTTCTGGTAGTAGCATGATTTCACATTAATAAAAGTTTTGATCATTGCTTACAAAAAACTGATCCAAGTGATTTTTGACATTGTCATTTCAAGTAAATGTCTTATAGTTAAAAAAATTTGTATAGACTGGAACAAGTAATAATCTGAGTGTGCTTGATCTGGTGAATATGGTTGGTGCGATAACACGTCCCATCTAAGTTATAACAGTTTCTGACGAGTTAACAAACTTGTGTGAAATTTGACATTATCGTGGTAAAACACTACACCTGTTTTGTTGATCAATTCTGACCGCCTTTTCTGTTTGATGATATTACTCAATTTGTTTACTCGATGGCAGTACACTTTCAAATCAATTGTTAAATTGTTTGGTAAAAGCTCCAAAAAAAATTTCCTTAAAATCCCACCAAAGAGAGCATCTCTCTTTAAGAACATGTGGAATCCATATATCAAGCTTTGAAATGAAACCAATTTGTTTCAAGTAATCATAAACAGTTCAATAGACAAATTTAGTCTCTTAGTGATTTCATGTGTTGTTATTCGGCAGTTTGCTTCAATCAGTACCTTTATTTTGTTTTCATTGGCTTCAGCTGGTCATCCAGAATATGGTGTATCTTATTCGTTTTATATTTATATTTCATTCTGGCAATTTCAATATATGAAATTTTGTAAACCAGTTTTGACACTGTTATGGAGAAGATGTATTCACAGAACATCAATACATCTTCTCCATACACGTCACACAATTTTTTTCTCACTTGAACAGCATTCTTACCTTTTTGGTAATAAAAGAGCAAAATACAGGTAACCCCTGTATAACACGGTAGTTACGTTCCAAAAAATTGCCGTGTTATGCGAATCTGTGTTATACGAAACAAAGAACTAATACGAAAAGGAGGGTTAGGTTCCAAAAATAAAAAAAACATGCTACTATATTTTCATAATTAAGATAAATATCTTCATTAAAATTTTTTTAAGTGATACATATTAATTAGTGTTGCAACGAATAGTATATTCGGCCTGAGGCCGAATACCGAATATTCGGCCAGGAGCGTGGCCAAATAGCTGAATATTCGGCCAAACTATTCGGCTTGATTAATGCACGTACGAAAATTGGCGCGCAAACCGCATTATGGCAAGGATCCTGCTCTCTATTGGCCCGCTGTCACTACTCTTTGCCAATCGCGTTAATTCTTGGCAGTTGTAGCGGACATACAAGAGTGTCATGGAAGTATGTGATAAATGATGATATCAAATGTGGATAACAATGAAATGATCTACACGTGTAAATAACGGAAGAAGAACAGAGAAGAACCGCAAAGTGAAAATGTGAAAATAAATATGAAATTGAGTTGATAACATAATCGAACAAGTCGAGGCAGCTTATTGGC